ATATATATTTGTGGGGGATGCCAGGAATCAAACTCAGAACCTTGTGCTTACAAGGCAGGTGCTGCACTGCTGAGCTAAATCCCCAGACCAATAATTGATTTTGGGCTGGGGAGACAGCTCAGTAGAATAAGCACCTGCCTGGCAAGTGCAGGGTCTTGAGGTCAACCCCTGGTACTGCAAAATAAATAAACAAATAGTTGTTTTGTTTTGTTTGTCTTTTTGAGACGGAATTTTGCTATGTAGCCCAGGCTGTCTTCCAACTTCCATCAATCCTTCTGCCTCAGTCTCCCAAATGCTGGGATTACAGCATGCACAACCTCGCTCAGCCCCCAACCATAGATTTTTATATATATTTGTGTCTGTTTCTAGACTGCCTGTACCAGGAAATATTGACTTTTGTCAGTAAATAGCCTTTTCTTGTTTTATTTTTCCTTGTGGTGTAACCCAGCACTTCTCACCTGCTAGGGAAACATTCAGCACTGAACTAAAATCCCAGTCCAGTATCATATATTTTAGAGCCAGTTAGTTAGTTATTTATGTATTTAGGACAGGTCTACACAGACAAGATTAGTAGTGATTCTCCTATATTCAGCCTCCCAAGCGCTGGGATTACAGGTGTGCACTTCCACACCCAGTCTCAATCACCATCTCAGCATGCCCCAGGGACAGGACCAACATGACAAGCTGGGCATCGAACCTCGGCTGCTGCGTTCTGCTGAAGCAGGCGCTTTAGTCCGCTGAGCTATCTGGCCGGCCTGAGCCAGTTAGTTTTAAGATAAATTATAATACTGAGCAATAAAACATACTATTAGCTTTTTTTTTTTTTTTTTTTCAGAACAAGATTGAACTCAGACCCTTGCATTTGCCAGGGAAGCGCTTCTTCTACCGAGTCATCTCCGCAGCCCTGGCTAATATTTTATACTTATTACTGTTCTAGGTGCCTCAAGATAGGCATTCAATTTTTTTATGTTCCCAATGATACACGTAGTGTCATGATTTCATCTTTTTTGTCTATTTATTTAAGTATAACTTGTATTCCAGGACTGGCATGGTTGCACTTGGGAGGTTGAGGCAGAAGGAGCACTGTGAGCTTGAGACCATCCTGCACTACAAAGTGAGTTCAAAGCAGTCTGAACTACGGGGGAGGTCCTGTCTTTAAAAAAGAAAAAAAAAATTGTATTTTCGTAGAAATCACCCAACAAAACCATACATGCAATAATTTTTAGAGTCTTGTGTGTGACGTTGCAATTCTAGGCCTATTTCTTGATCCCAAAAGACCCCTTTGGTAAACATTAAACTTACTTGTGTGGGTGTATATGTGTATGGGTAGTGCTAAGGACTGGACTCAGGGCCTTCCTGCTAAAGTATATTCCCGGCCCTTTTTATTTTATTTTATTGGAGTTTTTTTTGGCTGGCTCAGCCCACCTTGAGGGCGGGGCTGCTGCGGCATGTTGTGCTGGGGGTCGAACCCAGGTCCCCTGCCGCCTGCCTAAGCTTGCCTAAGCAGGCACTTTAGACCGCTGAGCTATCTCATTGACCCCCAGCTCTTTTTCTTCTTTCTTTTCTTTTTTCTTTTCTTTTCTTTTTTCTTCTGCAAAGCTTTATTCCAGAGGGGCTCAGTCCTTCCTGGCAGCTGCCTTCCTCATGGCACCCAGCACGTTGCTCAGCTCCTCACGCTTCCTCTTGGCGTGGATGTTCGTCCCCACTCTTTTCTTTTCTTTTTTTTTTTTTCTTTTCAAAGTTTTATTGATAAACATATAGCAATGAGACAGTTTCAAATCAAATCGAAAGTACAGTTTCAACAAATAATACACTGCCCACTCTTTTCTTGATGAACTTGAGGGCGCGCTGGTCCTCAGAGACCTTGAGCAGCTCCATGACGCGCCATTCGTAGGGAGCAAAGCCGCACACCTCCCGGATCATGTCCTGCACTAACTTGGTGTGTTTGGTGAGGCTGTGCCTCGGTTTGCTCACATTCTTAGTCACCTCGTGGCCCTTGTGGAGGCCCATGACCATGGGATAGTGGAGGGCCATGGCTACTATTCTTCAGTGGTTGCTGTGGCAAAAGGACCAGTGCTGCTGCTGCTTCCTCCTCTTCCTCCTCCTCCTCCTCCTCTTCCTCCTCCTCTTCCTCCTCCACCCTCCCCCTCTTCTTCTTCCTCTTCCTCTCCTTCTTCTTCTTCATTCTGCGACAGACTCTCACCAAATTGCTACATTGTCCTGGCTGGGCTCAAACTTAAGATCCTCCTGGCCCATATAGGAAGACTCTGTCTCAATCCCAGAATCCTGGGATTACACTTTAGGTTTGCCTTCTTTTTTATGTTTCATATAAATGCAATCATTTAATCTTTGTGAATACCTCTTTAATTTAGCATTTTTCCAAAGCTCATTGGTGGTGTAACCTCTGTTATTCCATTTATTGCTGAATAATAATTCCTTTGCAGATATATGTCATGTTTCACTATTCATTAAATGATGGACCTTGGGTCCAACTTTTGGTGTATAACAAGTAA